AAGGGATTTTTCCAAGATTAGTTCATGGAGGATGAGGGCTTTCTTGTTGAGTGATCGGATGTTAAGGAGGGCAATATTAGTTGAGTGGGAGGGGCGTGGTATGGTCACAGGCTGAAGAGGTGAGAGGTTGTCCATTGTGACAGTGCGGGGAGGAATGTGAGATGGGGGGGAGGAGCGGAGAGGAGGTGGAAGGAAGTGTGTTATTATCGGTTTTTGGTGGTTGAGGGCGGTGGAATCCACTCCAGGTATTTGGGCCAGCTCTGAGCAGAGGGCAGTGGAATCCACTCCAGGTATTTGGGCCAGCTCTGAGCAGAGGGCAGTGGAATCCACTCCAGGTATTTGGGCCAGCTCTGAGCAGAGGGCAGTGGAATCCACTCCAGGTATTTGGGCCAGCTCTGAGCAGAGGGCAGTGGGATCCACTCCAGGAATTTGGACCAGCTCTGAGAAGAGGGCAGTGGAATCCTCTCCAGGAATGAGCTCCCCATTGACATCAGGACAGCAGAAAGCATACACATCTTCCGGCGCAGACTGAAAACTCATCTCTTTCGACTCCCCTTCGAGCGATAGAATTACTAACAAAGCACTATATACTAATAAAGGACTGGTTTATCTAAAGCCAGTTAAGTAGCACTTGAAATGTTTTGGCTCTATGAAACCTGATGTACCTATATTATTCTGCTTTCTTCAAGTTTGTATCTTCTTGGTCGAATGCACTTATTGTAAGTCGCACTCGCTTTGGATAAAAGCGTCAGCTAAATGCAATGCAATGTAATGTAATGTTGCAGCTTTTTGACCAGGGCTTGATGGCATATAGTATTTCAGCCAAATGAATGAATTACAAGTGACCCTCTTTAATCATATTACCAAGGAGGGGTTGGAGTTCAATAAAGGGACCTGTCTTTTAAAGTTTCACTGAAAATGAATGACAATTTAAAAAAAATGTTGCACTTTTTCCCAACAGTATCACAGCCACAGCAGCCAGTATCGGAGCAGCTGGAATCCCTCAGGCAGGACTGGTCACCATGGTGATAGTGCTAACGTCTGTAGGCCTTCCCACTGATGACATCTCGCTTATCATCGCTGTTGATTGGTTCTTGTAAGTGTCTGATATATAGAGGCAGAGCATCCAACGAAAATGAACACACAAAACAAACATTTGGTTAGCATTTTATAGAAACTGGTAAATGCTATTCATATAAGATAAGTTAGTTAAGAGGGTTGAGGTAACATCAGGAATATGAAATCCATTATCCCTCCCATAGCGAGGGGATTCACAGGGTAACAGCAAAGGTACAGGGAAGGCAATATAAAGGCAAGTGGACTAGAAGCCAGTAAAAACAATAATACATAATACAATGTTCATATTGCACATGAGCAGTGTGATTGCAAAACTCTGTTATGTTACAGTAGTTCAAGAATTATGCAGTATGAGTTCAATTAAACTCCTCCCAGGGGGATTTTAGGGGGTAAATAGGGATCAAATTGGTGTGCTCTGCACTATGGATTATAGGAGAGCTTGCAGGGACACTCCCATCACATTCCTCGTCCCCCTATCCATCTGTTTTTATTCAGTCGGGGTCCAAACCCAGTGCAAAGCCTTCTCCTCTTATCCACCGCCTGTGTGCTTCATGTGGTTTCAAGATTGCCTGGAGCGATTAAAACCATTCAGTTGACTCATCATCATTTTTGGTTCACACACATTTACAGACACATGTAGATTTAATTTTCTACATCCAAAATAAATTCATACTGATTGTCTTTCTTCGTCGTTTTGTCTTCCCTTGTCATGTCATTTTTGTCTTCTTTTTGTTTCATGTTGTCTTGTTTCATGTGTTTGTGTCTTGTTCTAACTTGTTTTGTGTTGTGAGTCCCGTTTCATCTTGTTGTGTCTCGTTTCATCTTGTTATGACATGGTTCATCTTGTTTCATCTTGTCGTTTCTTGTCTTCTCCCTGCCACCTGTCCTCACCTGTTCACTATCTTTCCTCAGAGACCGACTGCGCACCATGACCAATGTCCTTGGAGACTCCATTGGTGCAGGTATAGTGGAGCACCTGTCTCGCCACGAGTTGCAGAAGAAGGACCCTGAGGTGGGAAACTCGGTGGTGGAGGAGGCAGACAAGAAGCCGTACCAGCTAATCTGCCAGGAGAATGAGTATGAGAATGAGAGACCTGCTGACAGCGAGACCAAGATGTAGATTGTTGTTCAGGCTGCTTACATTCTTAGGAAAACAATTGCACTGCATTGAACCACGTTCTCAAACTAAGCCCTACTTAATTTTAATACCTTTGTCTCTCAAGTGTGGAGGGACCAAATTAAATTGATCTACAGCTAGAATATATTTCAACCAAGATGAGTTATACTTATGTGTGTGAGCTTCCGAGACAGATGGTTCACTGTTGCTTTGTTTTTTCTAAAAGTTTGTATTATGATGTTTCCTAAGAGTACTATGTGTTTCTGCCATAGGGTGGCAGCTATTTACTATTACGGCAATAATGAATTACTCTTTAGCTTAGCCTTGTTGCTCTGTGGCCTGCACGCCATATCCAGCTCCTCTCAGAACTGTGACGACTGATCTCCCCCACTAGAGGCCAGTACTGCTGTGAGTCTTAACACCACAGCAGATTACTGCCCAAACTTGACTTTTTCTGGCTTTAAAATGGTTGCTTTTCTTTTGTTTGAGTGGTGATGTATGTAGGTGAAATGGTTGTGAAAAATCTGTTTGGAGACTCATGGGAAAAGTGTTTGATACCATGCACATATAGGAGGACCATGTCCACTTTTTTGGGGAAAAGGGCTGCTTATTTGCAAACTTCTGTATGGACATTAGTGGCTTTATTTTCTACGATTTGGTGGAGGGATTATGTAGGCCTACTGTAATTTATCCTAAAACACACATACCTGTCCAACACAGGAAGTGCTACACTTTTCAGAATATTTTGGCAACTATCTAACCCCTTTTTGTGACACATACTGCTCAAACCAATCATTTCAATCATAAAGACAGGCAAACCAAAATCACTCAGCCGTGTTTTTACCTGTACATTTGATCAACTTAAAATGTAAACTGTAATAATATCAAGATATCAACCAAAAAAAAAAAAACACCAAATATTATTTTCAAATGTGGGTAGTTTCATCAAATCATACCTGCCCATGCCCGGAAAAAATATTGCTAACCCGTACATTAACAGTACTGCTAAAAAAGGAAAATAGTGATTTTTGTATTATTGAAATCATAATTTTGATTGTGAGTTTGCCCTATAGGGGATTTAACTCAAAATGATTGGGTTGAAACATTCACATGTCAGTACGAACTATTGTTTTGTATTAAATTAGTAAACCAGGTATTCAGTAGGCTGAATATATAATTTTCTAATACTTTTTTTCTCAAATCAGTCTCTTTAGATAACTAAATCTAATGTTTTATTCCATTTGATTAAATATCAACGCATGTTGTAAAGTAACACATTTGAGTTATTTTCTAATCTTTTTGTATCTAACATTTAGGCTTACTTGAAAATATTAAGTATATACATAAAAAATGCAACATTTATATAATCTTTGCTTTGTATAGAAGATTATTTTGAATATACTGTGCTTGTATAGAGAAATGTAGATAAACATGTACATTAATTGTAGATTTAAATTGTAAAAGGTTCTTTGAGGATTTTGTATGTAAAGATGTTATTACAATGCTATTGCCTAAAGATCAAAACTAACAATCCCTCTAGTTCCTTTTACAAATGCAAAACTGGCTGATTTAAAGGACCAATTGTTATGTTACCTGTACGAACTTGAGGAAATGAAATAGTTCCTTTGTTTACAGTAGCTGGTGTCTCTTTTGATATGAATGTTTCACACATGAATTCATATGTACCTGCAAACACACACACACACACACACACACACACACACACACACACACACACACACACACACACACACACACACACACACACACACACACACACACACACACACACACACACACACACACACAAACGCACACAACACACACACACATTTGAACAATATTTGTAGTTCTGTCTTGCATGGATTTTTATCAATAAAATTTGTAATCAGTTTTTGTATCTTTTTCATTATTATAATAGTTATCTGAAATACGTGTGGATTCTAAAATCAGCCTTCGTTTATGTTTCAATGATTATATGTATTTGATGTTTAAAATTCTTATTTAATCGTTGTTTGGCATCCTCCCGGATTAGCTAGAATCTAGGTAATCCGGGAGGATGCAATGTTAAAAACATTTCTAAAATGTTGTCATCGTTGTCCATTCTTTTATCCTATTTTGTTGGTTTATTGTACTCATCTATTGCATGTGTGTCCAACCATCCTCTGTTGCTATTTTGAGGTTTCTTACTTTTTTATCCCGTTAAAGTTTTTGGAGAGTTTTTAGGAATCAAGGGTCTAAATACGGAGGGTGTTGTACTGATTGTCAAACTCCCTAAGGTAATTTTACAATTTGTGATATTGGGCTGTACACATAATTGACTTGTCTTCACCTAAATAGTTTGGACATTCTTGTTGAGGCAATAACTGCCTGTTAATCAGCAGCATGCATACGAGCTGTCCCGAGGTATGGAACAGATACTGAACAGATTAGTGAGTATAGAAGATGGAGGCTGTATCTTGTTAAGGGTTATTCGTGGTTGTTGGTACTGGAGGGGCAAGTGGTTTTCATTGACCTCAACCAACCTTGAACTTCCTGGCTAGAACTTCAAACCAGTATTATTTCTCTACAGTTTCCTTCAACAACACATCAATATTTCTAAGAATACTGTAATTGTCATATTTACCAAAGGTTGATGCTGACCCCTTGAGGTCAAACAGTGATTTGATTTCCTAAAAAAAAGTCAGGATATCTCTTTCACATTGGGCAGACTAAGGCACTTGTGTCATGTTTTACACATCAACACAATGTATCTTGCTGTTGGCACATTTTGAGATATGTTATAAATGTACATGCAAGTCCCTTAATTTTATGTGTAAATTCTCCTCTATCCTTTGATTTAATTTGTATTTCCCAATATATGTAAATTATTCCTTAATGATGTTATATGAATCATTCTGCAAGATGAGTGTGTAATTGTGCAAGCATTTGGACAATAATTCAATTTGATATAATAGCTGCCCTGTGTGTGTTAAGCTCCACCACATTTATAAGACAGCAAGTTACTGGTTACTTAGCTTAATACAATTGTAATGCATGGCCTTGCATTATTTCTGAGTGGAGTGTGTACTATATTTTAAATAATATCTAACATAAAAAATATTAGTAAGCTATAACGCATTAAAGATTAAACAGTTTGATGTAGATGTTTTGGGTAATTTCATGGCCAGTTTTATTGACAGAAAATATATGTATATATTCTATTTAATTAGCAGTTTTAAAGTAAATTTAGGCCACCAGATAAGTTAAAGTTTTTTAATTCCTCTATTTTAAAACAGGTGCAGTAACCAAACAAATAATTACATTTTACAGTGTACCATGGGTTAAGTGGTTAATATTTTAAATCATAAAAGAGATTTAAAAACAAACCTTAGAAGAAAAGCATAACAACACATGTTTCGTAGTGTACCACTCCACTTCATAGATTAGGAACAGTCTCAGAAAGTCACTGATACATGAAGGTGATATAAAAAAATAGTTTTACCTAATATCTTACTTTTAGAAAGTGAAATGTTGCTAATATGCTATAATAGGCCTACACAAAATGTAATTAGAAAAAATTCTATAATTTTGCCTTGAGCTACGGTCTTTATATAAAACCATCTGTTGATAATGATAAAGAATGAGCATACATTGAACACCAGACGACGTCGCTAGCGTAGTCCTACAGCGGTGTCTAGCGGCTCAAACACGAAACGCTGCATGGCATTTTGTTTGGCGCCGATGGAGGGAGTCACTCCTGAGTACTTTGGTCAGTCAGACGGCAGAACTTCCGGTCGGCATTTTGTTCTACGAGACGAGAGCCTCTTGATGATCGCAACAATCGTCATATTTCTCATTTACTGTCGAAATTGGCTGCACTCATTGAGTAAGGCGGAACAGACCGACTGAAACTCCGAAGAACGAATGTTTCCTCATGAATGTACGCGGAGACGTTCACCCTTGAGAGGCGGAAAAAGCACGAATCAGCCCGACCCGGATTATTGTTGATAGCTAGCAAGCTAGCTAACCAGCTAGCTGGCAGCCAATCGAGTTCCTTCTGGAGGAGCCGAGAGAGAAGAAAGGGGGAGCTAGAGATACGGACACAAGCTAAAACATTCCCCTCCCTTTGAACGCAACATCTAAAGGTAAATAAAGTCACGCATTTACAACCATGCAACAAACTTTTAAAAACACATTTTATAAATAATAGCATTATGTAATACACGTTGTGTTGGAAGACCACCTACGGCGTCGTTAATCGTTGACCGGGAGGTAACGGAAGCTAGCGAACTAGCCGAGCTAGCTAGGTGTGTTTTTGCTCCGCCAAGGCGCACGGCCTCAACTGGATGTCATTTGTCGAGCCCGAGGATTGGGCCGTTGCCTACCGTTGCCGAGGAATTATGTTCCGTGCCGTTGCTTTTTTTCATGTACTCGCACTAACACAACGCATTTTTTTTCAAAACCTATGGGAAATTGACAACAATTCATCAACCCCGACAAGCGCTTCCTTGTACAATTTGAAATGCAGAGCGTTTATTTGAACGGGGAACATCAATAAAAGCTAACCAACAACACTTTGAGCTAGTTAGCATAACTAGCTAGCCATTAAAAAAAGGACTGTTGTTGTTAGCATTTTTGGCAGCTAGCATCAGTGATCTTTGCTTTTATGGTTAGAGTAGTAGACCTAGCTTCACGAGTCGCAGGAAAGCTGCAGGCAGTCAACTTATTTGCAGTTCAACGTTAATGGTTGTGTTCACAAGTAGCGGGCTGCAGCTGACATTTGAGCTAACTAATATAAACAGAGTAACGTATGCTACCTCCAACTATACGTTAGCTAATCCCTGTGTTTTCATTATTTTGTGTTATTTGACTCTCAAAGTTGTACTTTGGCTTGCTGGAATCTTTGGCAGGGCTTATGTTGGTTTTAGTTGCTATACTGTTTGGAATTGTTTTGAGTGACCACAGACTGAGACCAAACTACGTTTTCACAGCTATAGTTATTACACTATCGGAGCCTGGCAGTCATGTTCATGTTGTTTGAATCGTGTACATGCTTGTTTTTGGCAACAACAAATACAGTGTGGCTGCTTTCTGCAGTTAGCTAGTTTGCAGAATGTGTACGGGGGCTGTCGGCTGCTGGAGGATGAGCCCCCCACTGCTGCCGCCACCACCACAGTGCATCTGTTCCTTTGTGCTGCCTCCTGCCTGTCAGTCTCACAGCTGTCAGCCAAGCCCCTGCGTGCTGAGGAAGAGCCACAGCCTGGGCATGCTAATGCTACAGCTAGCTAATGTAATGTTTACAATATCCATCTGTTGAATAGTTGTAACAGTAAGGTGATGCAGGATCGGCTGCACGTGTTTCCTATTTGACCTAAGATTGTCTTTACACATGTAGGTGTCATTAGATAAGTTACTGTGAAAACATGTTCAATTAGATAAATACATTTCCAAAAGGTCTACAGAGCTGCATAGTTTTGCATTTTAGGTTTAAAGATTGTGTAACAGTAATGACAGGATCATTGCAAACATAATATGCTTGTGTGACAGTCAAAACTGCTATACTGTATTTGTCATGCATTGTTGTTGTTGTTAAGGTTATAGTTAACTGCTACAGACCAAACATATTATCTTCTATCAAGAGAAATAATGCGGTTTTATGTCACAAAGTCTCACGCAGAGCCATGTTTTTCTCCTTTCAACAGATTGAAGGAGTAGGACTTTTTTAATCTGAAATGTCACTGAGTCCATCCAAGCTAAAAATTCTTCAAAAAGGTATTATTATATTGGTGTGAGCCATTTAATTGACTTGTCATTATCAACAATCGTAATGCTCTTAAATGATGCAGAATGCTGAAAAGGTTATTTCTGAAAATTGCAGCTTGCTTTTCACTCTGCTCCTCTTTAAACTCCTGTGCCCTCTTACTTGAGAGGTCATGGACACCTTCAAAGCAAAGGGGTTAATGACAAATGACATGGAACTAAGGGTCCTAATTTGTAGAAATGTCATTAAAAGCAGAGAATGAAGAGCCCTGGTGTGAAATTAGTGAAAGGGAACAGACTCCTGTGATAGTTACTAAAAAAAAAATATACAGTGGCCTTCTTAATCAGTTTCACAATAGTAGCACAATTAAGTGTGGAAAATAGAAGAACGTATTACACACACGGCATAGGATCTGCTGTATAACCACCAACCATCAGAATATAAAGGCTCATTCAGTGGCGTACATGATCACTGTTATTCAAAACCCAGTATTATACGTGACTATAGTCCCCCCCCTCAAAGCCTCTTTCTTTTGTAAAACGCCAGACAGTGTTGTCATACACATGTTTTACATTGTATGTTCAATATAGAGAATACATTTGTTTCCATGTTGCTGGAAGCCACTAAGATATTTGAAATGTAATCTAACATATTTAAATTATTAATAATAAACATCAATCAAGGTGTAAGAACACTTGAATATTATATTGTTGATCTGTCAGTGCTTTTGTATTTGTCGAACATTTCTTGATCAAGACACTTAACCTGCATTCATTGTACTGGCATTACATTCCTGATCCTGGGATCTAAGCAGTACCTTATTTACATAATCATATAGAAGATATAACAGTAAAATGGTGAGATCCATGGCGGTCTAAAGATGATGCAGCCGGCACCTTTCCCTCACAAAACATAATCTCAGCATTGGGGCAGACATATAAATGTATAAAGCAAATATTAATTCACTTACTGCATTTGATCCAAATATATCTGTTTTAATACTATTGGTACATTATTTTGGTTGCAGTTGTTAATTTTTACCCACACTAGTTGTTTTCATTTTTGTTATTCCTTCTCATGTCCATCACTCATGCTGTTTTTCTTCTTTCTCTCTCCCTGACTAACCTTCCTCTTTTAGGAGTCAGGAGATGTGAGGACGGGAGTCGTCCATCGGCCCCCTGATCTACCTGTGTATCAGCACACCCCCCCACCCCCACCTTCAGCATGAATGGGGATATGCCTCATGTTCCCATCACCACTCTCGCTGGGATCGCTAGCCTCACAGACTGTGAGTGACACACAGCCGTGCTCCAAATACACTGTCACACATTAGGTTGTATCTCTGCTTCCAATTTCAAATGCCAAAGTTAAATATTGAACAGATTGAAATTTGCAATTATGATAACCTGAGTAGCATATTTCTCTTAGCATAGTCTTCCTTCTTCTCTTCTCTACCTTTCTATAATCATGTTTTCTATATTGCTTATGCCTTTTTTCTCACCCTGTCACAATTTTTTTTCTCCCAACCTCTGTCCTGTCCATCATCTCTCTTCTCGCCTCAGTGTTGAACCAGCTGCCCCTCCCTTCCCCTCTCCCGGCCACTACCACTAAAAGCCTGCTATACAATGGGAGGATCGCGGAGGAAGTTACCTGCCTACTGGGCTGTCGGGATGAGAACCTGGCCTCCCAGCTAGCCCATGGCCTCAACCAGGTCTCCACAGAGTACATGTGAGTTTATAAGGGAACCTGTGTAAATATGACAACATTGTAACTTTATTTATATATTTTTGTCGTAAATATTTGCATTCATACATATTTTAGATTTTAAACATAGTTCATCATTGTCTGTATCTATTACTTTGAATTATGCTCCCAACTTGTGTTACTCTCATAGCTTTATGATGTGACTGAACTTTTTCACGTGTGCTTTCAGAGAGCTGAAGGACAACCTGGGCAGCGACGAGCCAGAGGGAGATGCACCACTGCTGCTGCAGACCATGCTGGCCAGGAACCCTGGCATCTTCAGGGAGAAAAGTATGAAGATAAATACAGGGTTCCCGCGGGGTCTTAAAAAGTCTTAAATTTGATAATCTGAATTCAAGGCCTTAAAAAGGTCTTAAATATGACCAAAAAAATAAGAAAGGTCTTAAATACGATTTAGAAGGTCTTAAAAATGATCGGATTTGAAAGGTACTTCTGTGTTGCGATCACGTCTAAAATGTGTTTTGGGGAAAATGTCCGGGCTTCAAAGTAACCAATACGGTAATAGCCTTTCAGTTCCCCCCAACAATTTGTATTGAAATAAATCAACCAGTAATCACTAACTTTGTTTCCTCCGGCCCCTTATCGGAGAACACCCAGCTAGTAACCTAGCAACCAAGCTTCAGCTAGCGGCTAGTCAGACGNGCTGCTCGATTATGGCAAAAATCATAATCTCGATTATTTGGGTCAATAATTTGATGTTTTCAAAGTAAATGGATAATCGTTTTTAATAATCGTGATATCAATTATTGACCCAAATAATCGAGATTATGATTTTTGCCATAATCGAGCAGCCCTAGGCTGAAGCGAGTGGGAATGCTACCGGAGAGAGGTTAAATAAAAAGTTATGATAAAGACTGGAGAGACTGTTTCCAAGCACGATAAACAGTTAATTACAGGGGGAACATGATATGAGCCACGATTACATCTAATTAGCACAACAGAGCCAAATTAAACAAGGACTGATTAGATCAACTGAAAATAATCGTTTACAGTTTCTAAAGTAAAATATGACCACTTGACACACATTTCCAGCACTTGTTGAGAAATCATCTCCCGCAGTGTTTTGGTGCTCATTCCCTCATCAAAGGTCCTTGTCATAAGAGAGGGCAGTTATGAGAGAGCAGATGTCTGAACTGGTGCAGGCCGTTAAGAAGTTAATCATTATTATCTCCACTCTGTTATAATCTCTGCTGTTTGAGCCAGAATCAATCTGCCATTCAGTTCAACACAAATGATTAACAGAGGCAAGGCAGCTCTGGGATATTTACCCAGTAAGAATAAAGATAAGGAATAATAAAGGTACTTTTCAATGTTGTCAGTGTAAACATGATCTACTTTTAATCAATGTACACTCAGATTTCAGTCAAATGATGCTTGAACTCTGCATGTGTCCCTCTTTTTAGAAGGTGTAGAGCTGAAGCAGCATGCGGTTAAATATAGTGCTGGTTGCTATTATAATGTTTTATTGCTTTGATCTAATCTTTTTGTTCCTCACACACTTCTTAGAGCTGTCTTTTCATTTTATACTCCAGACGCCTGAAGCAGCCCCAAACAGCAGCCTTGAATGTCAACTATTAAAATCGGAAAATCAAAAGAAACCCTCAATGAACTATTTAAAGAAAGACAATAAAAAAAAAAGTGTGGAGGATGTTGGTGTGAAAAAAGATGGTTAAAGCTGCGCTCAGAGAAACAGGCCAAAGGGCATATCGTGGACGATGGATTTTCTATGGATTGGTGTCAGGCCATGAGCTATAAATGTCCCCTTAGTGTGAAATGAAATCAATAGGTAATTAGTTCCTTATTGAAATGACCCGGCCTCCCGTGTCTTTACGTTAGAAACCCAAACACCATCTGCTACCATTCTTTACCGTCCCACCGTACACACTCTGTATGCTGTCATTGGATAAATTGTCCTAACACTTTGTATAATATGCTTGGTTTTTATTTTCTTGTTGAAAGTAAGGGGAGAAAGATACAACACTTATTTGGTAAATAGCAGAACCTGAATAGTACGAGCAGAGGGGGAACAGCTTGCCTCACTTTGCCCAAAACCTTCCAGTAGTCACTCATTTTACCAGCTTTAGAAGTGAAAGCTACACTCGATAATGCCAAGGGTGTATAACATCCTTGTACCTGCAGGAGCATCTGTTTAAAACCCCTCTGGATGCTGAATGAGTCCACAGCCTCATGTCCTCCAGCTGTGCCTCTCTCAGCTCCTCATTCTTCATAACTCTGCTTCTGTCTCGCTGTCTGTCTCTTGAGCGCGTTGCTCCCCAGCAGCCTGGTGTTTCGCCTGCTCTGAGACACACTGGGACACATTTAGCCTGGCACTACTTTAATCAGACGGATTCACTGCCAGATTTGTGTTTTATCATCCTTTGCATCAGGGCGTGGCACACTTTTACTCTCTCTGTAAACTTCATATTCGCACACTGATCATTTCTCTCCAGTGAACACAGGCAATTTGATCTGATCCTGTCTCCGAAATCATTCAGGCGTTTTTTATTTAGGTATATCTTTGTTTTGTTCCACAGGCAGGGAGCCCGACTTCAGTCAACGCTCCATGCAGTTTCTCGAGGACATCAGTTTCCCCTTCCAGCCAGGACATCTGCAGGTACAAACATCCTCATTTCTTACTGCCAATGAAGTCATTTGTGTCCAAAGTGATATAAACACCCAAGGGCAAGACATCTATCTATTTTTCAGTCCATTGCTGCTGCAGAACCTTAACAGTAGATGATGCTTTCCCTTTACCCCTGAGCCATTACACTTTTTGAAGTAGCCCTGTTTTCGTGTAACCTGGGTTATATATAAACATGGGTCACAAGTGTTGTCAGTCCACAAAACGTTTTATTTCCTTTTGTATAAGCTCCTTTGTTTCCAAATGCATGATGTCTTTTCCATTTCTCTTTTTTTGTCTTTTGTCATTCCTTTTCCTTCTGTCCTCACCACCATCTTCAATCATGTTCCTCTTTCATAAACACACATGCACAGCAGCAGTCAGGATCAGGACTGTCAGAAGCACACTGCAGTGGTTCTGTTGAACTCAAACGGTAAAAGCTGTCATGGTTCAGAAGGTATTTCCGTGGCCACCCTCTGCACGGACGCCCTACCAGCCTCCAAACAGGCCAAACAACGAGACTGGCTCTCCCTGCTCCGCCCATCCTCCGCAAACCACCGCCCAAGCGGCTCGCTCAAGTTCTCTATGTCTCTGAACGACGTGGGCCAACGTGTGGACAGTCTTTGTCGCGGGCTGCACTTCATAGACCGAACCTGCTCCGAGGGGGAGCTTGAGACCAAGCCAGAGCCTGCCATGCCACCAGGTGCGGAGCGAAGGGCACACACACTCAACGGCAAGCTGGCTGCAGCCCCCACACACCAGAACCCCCACCTCGTCCCCTCCTTTACAAACAACTACAAATACATGTTGGGCGTCCCTCCCATCAACTGTCCCCCACATGACCCGGTCACCATCGCCCCTCCTCCTCCTCCTCCTCCTCCTCCTCCTACTCTTTCCAACAACCACCTCCACCCTCATCACTCCCCGAGCGCCAACTTCCTGCGTCTCCTTCTTCCCTTCTCTCGATCCTCCACCTCGGCCAGCCTGCAGTGCTCCGAGCTGGGCAGCAACGACTCCCACATCCACTTCAAGTCCTCCCCGCTGGAAGGCAGTGAGTTAGGGTTCCACGTGGAGGATCTGCTGGGGGATGACGATGTATTTGAGGAGGACCGGAACAGCCTAGCTCCAAGGGGAACATGCCAGCTGGGCGCCCCATTAATGGTCACCGTGGATGGGTCAGGTTCTCTTCTAGCCCCCCTGTGTTTTATGGACCCAGACAGCGACTTGGACTGCTGCCCGTCCCCCTTGTCGGAGAGAAATGGGCCACTGTCACCGTATTCGCTTTCTGGAGACTGGTGCAGGTGGGTGACTGTCTGGATGGTATAATCCACACCCACCCTCCCTGTTGGTAGAGCCCAGATCCTCCCTGTGCCGTGGCAGTGAACCCCAGAGCCCTGTGGCGTAGTGGAGAGCCTCTCATCCTGTCGTGTAACCACCCAGCAAATATCCTACACCACAGCAGTATTTGTACCAATAACCCCTGTCTGGAGTGGAGCTGACACCTCGATGCACATTACAACACCATAAGCTGTCCTGATTCAACGCCTATCTTGTGTTAATAGCAGAAATATGACTTCATTTCATTTCATACCATTTCATTCCACTATCTCATGTCCTTCACTGTGCTGTTTTTAAAATCATTTTTCTCTGTTAAGAGATCGATGAAACTTTAAAGTTTCTTACATAGCCTGGCAAAAATGTGCGATTGATTTTGCCCGTAAGCTGTCATCTTTGCAGTAGAGGCGGGAATAGGGGGCAATGACAATGTTAAGAAAAAGATAGAGGGTCAGAGGAGTGTTAGTTCCTCTGATAAATAGTGTAACAGAAGCAGCACAATAAATGTGGATCCCATGGAGTCTGTCTCATTAGGTCAACACGGCCGTGATCAGTCTTTTTCACTTAGCTGTCTGTGTGCGATCTGATAGGCCAGGCTATTTAAGGAAGAACAGATTGTAAAGAATATTTGTGTTACAGACCAGGTCATGCCTTCCTGTTCTCTACACGTGAAGTCTGTTAGCAGTAGATCTCACTAAGTCGCCAAGAAAAACCTATTGAGCCCTACATAGATCCAGTTTGGACACTCAGGGTTACAGCATCTGTCTGTCGATACTTAACCTTGCAGCTGTAGAAATGGATTGATGACTGTTTGAAGAATGTCAATTATACATTAGTTTCTTCTTTTCCTCTACGCTTTGGTCTGTGCACGTTGTTCAGTCCAGATTATACATCCCATACGTCAGCTGTGTGCAGAGAGAGAAACACGAGCTTAGATTTGGCAAGGTGAGCAGGATCAGAGATCAGGAGACAGATTATTGGCTTCAAATAGCCTGGCAGTCTCTGACCCCACACACAAACACACATCGTGGGAGCTTTCTGTCAGGTGGCGTGAGCTCAGAGCCTGGCCTGAGCTGTCAGGGTGCTCGCAGGCTGTTGTTTTGAACAGAGGAATGCCATGTGAATTATAAGATAGCTCTTACATTGACATTTCAGAAAGTAATGATTGGAATCCTTTGAAGAAGTGACATTATCTCTTTCCTTATCAGAAAGGTCACATTTGAGGCAAACTTAAAGGTAGGCGGTTCCCGCGCTAACGTTGTGAATGCATTTCATTTCTCATTTTATATTTCCTGGCTTCGGAGAATACTTTGAAAACATGCATTGCATTTATACATATATATATACACAACTGTAGTAATTGTATTCATACATGTTTCTCTGTTAATTAACACATCTGTTGATCAGCATAGGGACATTAACCAGGTGTCATTTAACCCCCCATTCATTTGATAGACATGGACAACCTTTAAAGTAAGAATTGCAGTCAGTGTTACGTTCCTCAGCTTCGAATCACTTTTGTATCTGCTACAGCTCTTGCTTCTTGCTCCGTCTATCCTTCTTCTTTTAAGTGTTTGAAGACTTGCACACTCTGCTCTTTAGCATTGTCTTCCTCTTTGGGCCTCAAGCATGTACTAGTAGAGCGGCAGACAGAACAATGTTATTTTACAGAACAGGTACAGTAACATAGTTCCATATAACTCCACTGCTGACTTCGAGCTTTTACATTTAACAATACAGCAATCTCAGCAGATGTAATATTCTCTTTTGAAGTAAGCCTCACCACAGAGAGAGAGGCAAGTGACCTCTAAAGGCATGCAGAGAGCAGAGAAGAGTAAACGGGGAGATGGGTTCCTCTGGTGGTGCCTCTTAAAATGTGTATTTCTCTGATCACCGTGCAGAAGTTAAATAGATGTGACTGAAATCAGGCTGAGAACGGAGAGGAGAACAAAACCCCTCAGATATCACACTGCCCCCTGAAAAGCCCCATGAACATCTGTTTAGCAGAAACACAAAGAAACAGATGGTGTTCATAATTAATTTTTGAATGAATAAACATTTCAGGACAAGGGCAGAGCAAGGAGTTGCTGAAGGGGTGGGGGTTTAAAGCGATACATTGAGCAGGTGAAGAGTTAATAGATTGCCTAAATGCCACAGGAGAAATACCAGGAAATAGACAAGAGTGAACAGGAAGAAAGTGAATGCTTCGCCAGGGCAGTTATGTCGCCGAACTTGTTTTCCTCTCTATTAAAGATAAAGTACACTTCAAATGATTAAGCAGTTTTTCTGTGCTCTATTTATAAGGTTTTTATCTTTAAAGCAGTTTAGTGACAACCTAGCAGACATCTTGCATGAAGCATACTCAGGATCCCTTATCCTGTTCCACTCATGATCATTTTATTTCCACTGTGGCTTTATGTGGAGGTGTAGGCATATTTCTGTTCTTATTCCCTCCTACATTTGAAATCAAAATCCATATCAACATTAGAAAAGATTCTCACATCTTCCCATTTCAGCACGCACCAACCCTTGATGTGAGAGAGTCCTGGTCCTCAGGCTGGCTTTTGTTGTGCTTTTTGAAAGAGGAGTGCACACCAGTTTGTGTGGGAAGAGAATCTGCAATTCATCATCTGTGATCTATGTAAATTATCACAAAGACTCACAGCCATAACCAATAGAAAAACACCATGAGAGCTTTATTTTGCTTCCTCAATCCGTGAATCCCTCTGTCCTCGTTCCACTCTCTCCACTATTTGACAATAGATCTCCACCTGCTCTTATCCTCTTCTTCTTCTTCACATTGTCTTTAATCTTGTAACGCTTAGGCCAGATCAGTGTCATCTGGAAATAGATGCTATCTTGCTCGCTCTCTTAATAACATGCGTGGCGGGTGTGGGTGTGCATGTGTGTCTTCATGTCTTCTTATCCCCCCTTGACCGGGACAAACCCATCCGAACCAATCTGCTCTCTTCTCCTTTGTCCATCTATTCCCAGAAAGAAGAGCAACTTCTCTCTGCATCTCACTCAGGGGCAAACACAGTGGCGAACCGTCAGGGCCTTCAAGGTATTCAGAGAATACCCTGGATCACTCAGATAAAACAAACAAAAAATCGATTTAATTATATAAATAAAATGTATATAAAATGAATAAATGAGAATGGTATCTGTGTTGTTGATCTGTAATATTACAGTGTTACGTTGATTTTTTTGTCCTTCTCTGACCATGCATTTCAGTGGTTTTGTGTTAGAAAAGAAAGCAACCAATCAGATCTTGTTCTGGGTCTCTGGGTAGAATATCCTTCAACCAAGGTATTCTATATCCTTGATCGAATGCCCTGGCCGTTGCAATGAATGAGAGCATACATTTGGACTGACAGTTTGATCAACCAATCATATATTGATTTGTAGCCAATGGGCGTATTCTTTCAGNGACAAGTGCAACAGGTGAAGATGAAGTTGTTGCGGAATTGTTGTGAGTACCCTTTTCAAGACGACAATTCAGTGAAAAGACGGACATTATAACGCCTGGGGGG